TATATATATATATATATATATATATATATATATATATATATATATGGGGGCAGTCGTGGGTGAGCGGTTAGGGTGTCAGACTTGGATCCCAAAGGTTACTGGTTCGACTCCTAGGTGGGGGGAGTAATTAACCAGCGCTCTCCCCCATCCTCCTCCATGACTGAGGTACCCTGAGCATGGTACCGTCCCGCCACACTGCTCCCTTGGGGTGCCATTTGAGGGCTGTGCAATTTCATTGTGTGCAGTGTTCACTTGTGTGTGCTGTGTCACAATGGGAGTTGGAGTTTCCCAAAGGGCTTTCACATATATATATATATTAATTAGTTATTGCACTGGGTTTCAGATAGAGAGAACCAGGTTATTGCACAGGGTATCAAATATTAATTGCACATCATACAATGCTCAATTTTTTTGCTGTTGTAGTGGTGCATTGTAGAGTCTGGTTGCAGTACGGATGAATGACCTGCGTAAGCGCTCCTTTTTACAATTGGGGTGTAAAAGTCTTTCACTAATGGAGCTGCTCAGCTCCTTTACAGTCTGGTGCAGGGTGGAAAGGTGTTTTCCATGATGGATATAAGCTTCGACAACACCCTCCTCTCAGCCACTTCCTCCACTGAGTCCAGAGCACAGCCTAGGACAGAAACGGTCACCACATCAGCCCTCATGTTGAATAGCTCAGGCTTAATCCATCTGACCTTTAAAAGTTTTCTCCAGTAGGCTTTCAGTTTGTCAGTTTAGCGTCTGCAGGCTTTCTTTTTCTTAAGGATATCTTTCTGGGTCAGATGGTTAAAAGCTGGACACTATTGGCGCAACCAGCTCAAACACATCACAGCTGGTTCCAGAACAGACGAGTCATGCCCCTGGATCTAAAATCCAAATTTAAACATTATGTGATGATAATTCTCTGAATTTAAAGCAGGGACTGGAAAACAACCAGTATATATTAAAATTTTTATTTGTTCCAGTTAGAGGTGTGATCAGATACATAGCCAGGATTATTTCCACTCACTCGGGACATTAAACCAAAAGTTTGTATCTTTATCTATAAATCTGAACTTATGAGACATTTTTAACCAAAGTGAAACTATTTGAGCTTGAAAATTCAGAGATGTTAGACTTTTTTTTAATTCTTGTTAACTTTGTCTTGAACGGTTGTTTTGGATTAACTCCAGTCCTTGAGATAATTGGATTCCAGACATTGTTGGTCTCAGTGAAACATTTGCGTCCCGTTCTCAGATGCATGCTCATTAATCAGCTGAAGAGGGGAGGACGGCTTCCTTTATCTTTGTTTGTGAATGTGTCTGTAATGAATGAGCTGTGAGGTAAAAGCAGAACCAATCAGTTTGAGTGTCGGGGTCACCTCTTCGCTGGTAATTGTTACATTCCACACGTCATTCATCAAACACAGGCATAAAGTGTTGAACAATCTATATTGTTCCAGGCCATAGCGGTTCATCTACTGATGTTTGCCAGGATCAAGGCAGTGATCTTCCTCCCAGTAAAGATGCCGGTGACCAGTTCTGGCACTCCCATCGCTGTCATGTGTCTCCTTCTGGCATCACAGCAGACGGTAATGTCACCTGCAATCTGCCCATCTGCTCCTGGATGATTAAAGCCTTAATGGCAACATATGGTGACCGAAGAAAGTTTTTTTTTTTTTTTTCATGCTGTTGGCAAGAACAAAAGGTTTGTATAATCACCAGGTGAGTTTGCTCCAAAGCTTTAAGTGCTCATTATCTTCTCATTATATCCCACTAATGAAAAGCTGCAGAGGTGCTTCTGTTCCTTTGTCCCTTTAAACTCTGCTGTTGGATCAGGCTATTTTTGCAGGAGGATGATATGGACACTGCAATTATATCCTTTTTC